CAAGAACATTTTCAAGATTTTCGATTTTCTTTACATGTGTACATAGTTCTATGTTGTCTGATTCCCGTGAAGTCATGTTTCACTTCAGATCATACAAACATGGTGGAGAAAAAAAAAGCTCATGAATGCAGTGAGCAGCTTGTCCTGGCGCCTAGAAAAGACGCTTATCTCTGCAGGTTCTGATTTCCGAGTCTGATTTCCACCTCTGCCGTCTCTTAGTAAGGGACACCGATTAGAGATCAGCATATATACACACAGGCTAATCAAAACTGTGTTATCCTAAAACAGTGAAAAGACATGAATCTATGACGGATACAATACTAAACAGGTTAGAGCAAGAATAAAAAAATAAATAGTAAAAACAATAGAAATGTTGCTTCTCTCATATTCAGCTTGCAACGCTCCAAAGAAGCTGTGGTAGTGAAAATTATCCTCATAGTCTTACTCTCTTTACAGTGACCTTCCCCTTTACACAGTATTTACAAGCAAAAACAGAGCCTATCCCACGAGATAAGAAACGTAGTCCACTAAAATGAATACATTTTTCATGAACACAATGGGAATTTTTAAAAAACCGCAGAGTTGTATCACATTGTCAGTATGTAAAAGCGCTTACACACAGTTTGCAAACAGTGGTTTTTAGTAGACGTAGTTCATATCAAATCAGTCAACAGAGCAATCTGAAACTTTGTACAATTATCTGCTTTTGTTTCCTTTGATTTTTTTTGTTTTTGATGGGTACAGAAAACATTTACATCATATTTTTTTCCCCTTCTGTATGTGTACTTTGTCCACAGTTGACAATTTCGGTATTAGAGTGTTTAGAGTGTAAGGAGAGGTGATACAAGGACGTCGTGGCTAAGGAGGACATGCTGTAATAATTGCTCTCAACTCCAAAAAGCGAGGTCATACCTAAAACTGTTTTAAATACCAGTTAAATTACATAAAAGGTTTTTTTTATATATATATATATATTAAAGCCAGTGCAGACTATAACAATTGTAACATGTCCCAATTTTACCATGAGTTGTCCTATTGCTATGCAAATGAGTTGCAGCTTCTGCATTCTTTTTTAATGGCAAACAAGGGGTGGGTCATCTTGTGGCAACACGCCTGATGGTTGTACAGAAATCTCTTTGAAAACAGCCTTCAGCTCAGTGAACATTTTATTGATGAGTTCATGGTTTTAATTGCTGGGTTTTGGTACAATACCTTGTCACTGAAAAGATTCCATATGAACTTATTGTATAGTATCTTTCAATTACAGGCAGATCCACTCCTCACTGATAGTTTAAAGAAAGCCAAGATGGCAAAGGTGGAAGAACTCACCAACAAAACTAATGACCTAGACCCTGAACCATCCCTTAGTTATGCTGCAGTAGGTTTAGACTTCTGGGGGTCAGGGCAGATGGCTGCCTCTTCCTGAGCCTGGTTCTTCTCGAGGTTTATTGCTGTTGTGGGACTTTTTCCTTCCCACCGTTGCCAAGTGTTTGCTCATTGGGGGTCACCTCACTGTTGGGGTTTCTCTGCATTATTGTAGGGTCTTTATCTTATAGTATAACGCGCTTTGTTGTGACTTGGAGCAATATAAATAAAACTGAATCCCTCTGGTATTCTTTATAGTCTAGGATTTCTACAGAAAAATACTTTTTTTTTTAACTTGCCTAGAGAAGATCCTATGGATTGAAATGAAGCCTTTTCCAGGATCTCTTGCATTTGCAGCACTTGCACTCATTTGCTCTTATCCTAAAGTTGTACAAATGAAAATGACAAGGCTGTTTTCTTTGGGTACAAGAGCCAATTTCATTATTATAGACTATGTACCTCTCCAATTTCTTGCCTTGGTACCCTTTAGCCTCATTGGATTTTGTTCATCTCAGTCTCAGACTCTGTTTACAAGCTGCTCCTCGATACCATCTTGTTTGCCGCTATGACAGAAATATGGTACAGCAAGCGGATTACTCATGACGATGGATTATTGTCTTGATAAGACAACTGCAGTAAAAGTTATGTATTTTGGACTAGGCTTTACACCTCCAACTTGGCAAATACAAGTAGATTTTTTGCAGCTCACCAACTGATTTCCATGTCTTCACATTTAAAAAAAAAAATGAAAGTTTCATTTCCACTGTGAAGGATTATCTCAACCTGAAAGCTGTTTTTCATCCTGACACGACGAATGGATTCTTCTGAAGGAGGAAAATGAGTCCTGATATCTGCACTGACTGAGTGCATTAGCATCAAACACGAAGGAGAAATCGAGAGAGAGAAGGCCCTAACTGTCGAAACTTTGAAAAGAAACCCCAGTTATTATTACAGCTGCCAAAAATTAACTGAGTGGTAAGTTGATGCGCAACAAAGGATTACCTAATAACAATTTTTTTGCTTATTTGATCAGAGGGTGAACATGTCACATCAGATTTCTGCAGTTATATAACAATCATGTTATATAACTGCAGCACAAGTCGTGGCCTTGAAACCTAATTTGCTTTTAGTACTCATTTAAAGAAAAAAGAAAAGAAAATAGTGTTGAAAATTTCCTCGGGGGTGTCAACATTAACATTCTTGAGAAAAGCTTAAGGACAGTGCAGACAAATGTGGATGAGGGCTGAGGGACAGGGCAGGGGAACAGGAGACTAGAGCATCCTCGTAGCTATGAACGTGTGAACTGTAGCAGTAAAGACTCTCCTGCCTTAATAATCCTGGCTGTCTGTAAACATATTCAACACTTGGTGACCTTCTGGCATAATCAAATCCAGGGCTGCGTGACAATGCTTTAATTATCCGCATCCCTCTCCAGCGCTCACTTTTTGTGTCCCTGCCACCCTGGGTGTGCCATATGGTGCAGAGCCGAGGAGCCCGGAGAGACGCCGCAGAAGTCCAACCCTCCACGAGCTCAGATTTAATCAATGACTATGGCTGGCACTCATTCTGGCCTGCAGGAATCCACTGTGCATCGCCACACACCTTTCAGATGCTTTTCATACCCTGACTGCCGTTGTTAAGTGTAGGCATCTGGCAGTCATCCTCATTTGAAGACGAGACGCTGTGGTTGAGGGAGTGTTAGAAAACTGAAGTGGCTCAGAAGGACAGACATGTTGTCTGTCCCAGTTCAGAGCCTCAGGGATGCGGTTTAATATAGATGGTTCATTTATAGGGTTTGATGACTGAAAGCAGGACTGTTTTCCAGCTACATCTACCAGCAGTAATAAATACCTGTTCCAAGCAGCCACGCTCAAAAGCGAGTCAACATTATTGGTGGTACACTGAATGTCATGGCTTTTTCTGGAAAATCCTTTAAAATGGGACTGATGGTGTCAGAGAATAATAAATTAATACATAATCTCTGTAAACAGATACCTGCCTATCAGAGTCCGTAGGCAAGGGACAGTTTTTCTGGCTTCAGCTTGTAGTAGGTTGTACTTGCATCTGAGTTAAGAATCAGAATTACTGACTATCATCTGAAAATTTAGTTATTGATTTTTTTAACGTATTTTAAGTATTCATAAATGATGTCTGGCAAATAGGCACAGGAAGTTTTATCCGTTGGGTGTTACGCCCCAAGTCTACGTCAGCTGATTAGCTGACAGGTTTCTAGATTGTCAAATTATCAGTCTGCTCTAGACTCTCAAATATTGCAGATTTCAGTTTCTGGGTCCAGGGCCAGCCAGATGTTTTGATGAAACATTAACGATCTATGCAAAGCTAATGTGCACCACTGACATGGTTTATACTTCTACCTGTTTTGCCAGAGAACCACTCAAAAAATGTAAAGATGGAAGTTCGTATATTACGATGTGTTCAAGATGTGACTCTTGTAATGTCAAAGAAGAATGTAGTCCACAACTATTTGGGAAATATCAGTGATGGAAATCATGCTGACACCAGGACGTGAGGTCAACATGTTGTAAATTCATTTGGATTTCACACAAATCAGGACATCCAAAAGCTATTGCTAAGTTTTTAGCACAATATGGACAATATCAGTGACAGAAACAAAAAAAACGCTACCCACCAAAAATCTGGTACTGAAATGAAAACTGACCCCACTTCATCATAACATTGTAACATGACACTGAACTACCTCCTGATTCAGTAACACAAAACACAGTAAAGTGGATGCATTCCTTTTGGTTACCGAAGTAATGGATGTTTAGTTTCCTGTAGGCGACCAAGCATTAAAGAGCCCGTGTTTGAGCAAATGTAGACAGACGGAGCCCCTCAGCATCCGTCTGGCTGTTTGTCTCTGGTTTCGGGTTTGAGACATTTAAAAAGGTTTCAACGTTTTGTGAAAGGATGGAATCGAACACAGAGACACAAACACAACACAGCGACTGTGGTGAGAGCAACTCGGGCCTCTGTCTCCTCCTGAGTCACGCACGCACACTCAGTCGCTGTTTGTCGACAGAGGTACAGCATAAAAGCACAGCCGCGACACCCCAGTCTGTCCAGTGTGTGTTTGCAAATTTTCTTTTTTTGTGCACACACTGGCATGCACATGTGCATGCGAGAGTCTGTCTGTCTGTCTGAGGGGAAGGGTCGTCAGATGGTTGAGGGGATGTGGCAGTCCCATAGTGAAAGGAGAAGAAGAGGACGGCACGTGGAGGAGGAGGAGGGGGGGCTTTAGTTGTTCTGAAGGCAGTCGAGATCCACCGAGCAGCAAACGTTTCCATTCTGAACAGAGAGGCATGACAAGATAGGAAAGAAGACAGAGCATTAAATAAGGTGAAATGTAATATACAGTTCCACACTGTGCATGGTAAAGCTAATAACTCACTTCACAACCTAAATCACTTTTATCCACCTGACTTACAGAAGGATTTGGGGTGGTTAACCTCATGTCTCTAGTGTCATTACAGTGGTACCTAGTTATACAGTTTCAGCACTATCCCACTATACGTTTGAGATATCAGACTGATATCATGAGATTTATGCTTTCACTCTAGTACATAGGGATTATGAATTTGTGGTGGTAAGCAGTGGCACATCTGAGAAACTGAAGCACAATATATCTTTCCCAAAAGAAGTTTCCAGTTCCGCTCGATAGTCAGCAGCTCTCGCTGTCATACGGACTGTGATCTGGAGCGAACAGTCGCTATGAAAAGGTTTTTCTGAGGTTAATATCTCAAAAATATGTAGGGTAACGGGCCCTCTGTATTTATGGCCGTGAAGAACATGAGGTCCTGTCTGGTCAGATGTAAAAAATGTCTCCAACAGTGGCACATTGTCTCAGATTGTGTCACGGAGCTGCAGAGTGAAACTAGGTTGGTGATTCAAGAAAGCACAGGCACGATGTGGCCACGTCCAAAAATCACATCAACGCAAAGACTGCTGCAAATATGTATCAGTTTATTTAACAACTATGGAAAGGTTTGTAGATTAAGTTTTAGGTCTATGTATTTGATGTGCTCATTTTGCTCTTTTATGTATTCTGACTGCAAAGAAAACAATTGAAGCCAAAGTGAGGGGGCAGCAGCCTATCTTCACCTAATGAGTGGATCTGATGCGTTCCTGCCGCAGTCATCTGCATGTTCACTTCTTTTAAAGTAAAAATGCTCCTTACATCATCTCTGACAGTCATTTTTCTTTTATGCATTCATCTTAGAACACATATAAATAGACACTGTGTGCCCTCTAGCACACATTAGCTAAATTGATTATGTCACATTTTCAGTCTCAAAAATTTTCTGCTAACAGCCTGTAATGGCTGTCATTACTGGTAAAATTGTGATTTTTTGGAACAGTCTGACATTTTTACATCTAAAACCCACAAGTCTTATCCCATTTGCAGACCCCGCAAGAATATCGAACATAGGTTTAGGGAAAGTGTTTTCAAGTTAGCGATCTCCTGTATACTTCAGCCTAGCATGTTTGCCATTATAGCGGCTCTGCTATGATCACGCTGGTTTATGTTGTGTCCAGCGGACATACGTGTGTGCCTTGCAGAGCCGCCCCTAACCCTGCCAATCAGAACAACCCCTCTGGTTAGTTACTTTTTTGCTCATTGTAATGTATTACAACACAGAGAGCTGACTGTTGGTCTTGGAGTTGGGAAAATTGGCTCATTTCTGTGTTTTCTCTCAGTCAGATGTGAAAACAGTGATTTATGTCAGATCTTTTCCTAGACAGCAACACCGTGCTTGGGCTTCTTGCCCTGATGTACAATGTTTTTGTGGAACTCTGCCATAGAAAGTTAGCAGTCCCCATCACCCCTCAATAGCCTTAATAATAGCAATGCTGACAGGTTGAAATAAATTGAAATAGTCTCTTTACAAACCGGCGATTTGAAGCTCAAAAAGAGTTAAAAAAAATCCACACAATTAGTTTGTTCATGCTGCATTGACCTACCTTGCACTTGCAAGTGGTGCAGGGTGATTTGGGCATATGCCATGTGTCTCCGCTGAGGCGGGCGATGCCTGCGGGGTCCTTGCATGTCTGCCGAATGTCATACGACAGGTTGTCAGCCAGGCAGGGGTCTGTGACGCAGCGTGGGCAACATTCGCCCTCTGCCACTGCCGTGTACTCGCACATCAACGTGGGGCAAACTAGAGGCCAGCAGTCGACCTCCCCTTCCTGCAGAGACACAGGCAGTGATGAAAAAAAGCACCAGAATTGCTATAGCATGTGTGAATTTTCTTTTGGGTTTTTTTTAGTGTGTGTTTGTGTGTGAGACAGAGAAAGAATCCAGTTACAGATCTCACGCTGGTCTGTTGCCACATCTCTAATTAGAGAGGTGGTAATTTTCACAGCCCTCATACACACACAGTTAACCAGCAGATCAGGGAGTGGTATAAATTAAAGCCCTGCTCTGAGCTTCATGTTGGAGAGGAGGGTTTTGTCTTTTTGATGTGATCTGTGTCTTCCAACAAAGCTCTTCACCACACTCAGCATGAATGCCTGCTTTTATTTAAAATGGACAATAGCTTCTGTGTGAATGTTTGTGTGTGTGTGTACAAACCATGCAGCGGCACTGCTGGCAGCCGTACAGCCAAGATGCTCCGCTGCGGTAAAGTGTGCGTCCGCTCTGATCCAGACACTGGCTGCTGGGCCTGTTGTCACATCCAGGACAGCAGAACAGATCCTCTTCTGGGTCTCCACAGTCACAAGGTCTCCGCCTGCAGTACGTCTGCCCATCCTAAACAACAAACGTCACACACACCAGGGTGCAAACTGGCTTAAATAATGTACGTAGCTTATCCTCTCTGTATATTCTGGGTTGTAAAATACAATACCCAATACACAATAAAGGTGTCCCTCAGTAAAACAAAGGGCTTAAAACAATGTGATTTATATAAAAATGAAATAATGGGTCTATAAACATGAAATATTACTGTGAACAAACACAGTTTGAGCACTTTCCTGAGGCAGATTTTTACTTTTGTGTAAATGATCCGTCATTGTCTTTGACAAATGGGAACAAAACAATAACATGAACACCAAGCAGGCTTTTAAAGCACGTTGTTTATTTTTTCTAAATTAAAATTTAATATCTGATTTATATAAATATGTCTGGACTAAAATTAGTAACTTGTTAAGCACTTTTGACAACAAGTCTTGCTGACAGTCAACCAAACTGGGTGGGGGGCATCCTCTACTGAGAGCAGGTCTGGACCATGGATGATATAAAGCAGGTTTGAAAAGTGAGGATAATGCGAAAGTGCCTTGAACCTGCATTCTCTCTGAAGGCCACCGGATGGTAAAGCTGCAGTTGTAAAGACTTCTATGGAAAAGTCTATGAAAAAATTGCTACAGTATCTGTCTTGATCTCTGTAAAGAGTTTCCTGCTAGCTTCATGGCTCAGTCACTTGTTTCGGGTTCTATTTAATAAAGAATGACTTCTTTTTTATAGATCATGGTGAAACTCTGTTAAAAAATTAGGACTTGTCAGTCACAAGTCATTAGCTAATGGGTTTCACAGTCAGACAAGCTCCAGTTTGTTGAAACCAGAAGGGTGATGGTGAAAATGCTAATCTTGAGGCTTGAGTTCGAGACTTTAGAAATCAGTGGTTGATGTCATGGTAGATAAGCTCACCTTTTATACCGTCCATGGTCTACATCTGCATCTCTTTAACTTATCTTATTACCCAAAGCCTTGCAAGAGCATGGTGCTTCCACCATCATCATCATCATGTTTGGTTGAAGGGATGCTATTGATTGGATGTTGATCAGTGTCTGGATTGCTCCATTCCAGGTGTTTGGAATTGTCGCCACACTGTCCTTCTTTAACATTCTCCCGCATTCACAAAGGAACTCTGGCTCTCAGTCAAAGTCACCAGTGGGTTCTTGGTTGCCTGTCTGTTATACAGGGTGG